TTTCAAGCAGCCATGTGCGTGATGTGCGCCGATATTGCTATCGGTGTTAAGTTGCGTTTCCCAAGTCTGTCTGACTAAGCGTTGCTTGGTCCCACAAATCCTTAGGCAAGGTTTAGTGTCCTCGTAAATATTGACTTAAGGAGCTCGTCCTATTTACTTTTATTGTGGGCTTAAGAAGGATGGGTGTGCACCTTTTATAGTTCACTTTGTCAAGGTTAGGCACCTCCGCTTCGTCCGTCATGTCCGTGGCCTGAAGAGACTGTAAAATTTGTAGCCTGAGGAGTTTGTAGGGTCTATGGCCTGAAGAGACTATAGGGACCCCATCCCTCCCCTATTTCCCGGTATCAGGCAGCCGGGGCGCATCCGATCCCACGATCGTCGTCGCCCCTAAATCAACACAACAACAAGGTCAGGCACCTTGCGAGAAGGTAGAAGGGGTCTCACGACCTTCCGAACTACCTATGCTTAGTTAATTCTTCTTAGGACGTCAAGATGGTATTAGAACCCGAGAGTGCTCATGGCAGCAGTGGAACGCTTTACACAGTGTGAGCTGTAAACGTGATGCCAACGAGAGAGAGAGCAGATATTGCACTAAACTACAACATTTTAGAAGAGACGATGATAGAAAGGCAATGTGAAGATGAGACGCCGCACCACCATAACAGGTGGCCCAAGAGTTGAGATCTACCCGAGGGTAGACCAAACATCATCAATATTTAATTCCATAATATGTTGGGACAAGAGTACTATCAGCAAGCAGGTTCCCTATTCCTGATCTAAGCGAACAACTGACCCGAGTTGATAGCCTCCTTCCTAACAATGCTTGCCGATGATGCAAAAATATGTGGTACCTCACATGGTGGAAGACTCCAAGAAACAACTGCATGAATGGACACGCTGAAAGAATGGCCGAACAAGTGGCTACTAGAGTTTAAGCCCAGTAAATGCAAAATAATAAAGCTGGGTGTTGGGAAGAGACACAAGGTATCAAATGGGAGAAGAAATCCTCCTGGTCTCAGGTAGGGAACCCGAGGGCTGACATCACACATGAGTTTGTACCAGAAACAAACCACTCACACATGATTGGCTGCAAGTAAGAGGTTGCCCAATATAAGAAATTTTAGGATTCTGTAGAGTGAATAATAAATGTCAGAAAATCTTAAATATGCAGTACCAGCGTGGAATATTGTTCTCGTTAAACACAAAACGAGTTGATTAAAGTCCAGAAACACAGTAACAGGCTAGTACAAGAACTGAGAAGTATGAGCTACGAAGAATGACTAAATATACCTCACATCACTAGATAGAAGAACCATGGGACATGATCACAACATTCAAAATTCTTAAGTGGGGGAGTGGGGGATGGACAGATTATGTAGAGTAGTGTATTACAAATATGTTACCTTTATTAATGTTGTTTTATATTGGTACGAGAATATAGAAAATATTATATTTACTAAGCTTATCGTCGCTAAGATTATGTGGATATTTGGCAAACAAATCACTTTAAATTCTGGCTTAGCAGTTAAAACTAAACATGCCTAAAGCAGTTCGTGTAACAGTCGTCCACGGTAAAATTCGTCCTGCTAATAGCACGGTATTTTGACGTATACTCTATATAAGGCCAAGAACCATTGTACTAGAAAATATGGATAGCGACTCGCGAAATTAATACTGTCCCGTTTTCTGTTTCGGGTCCTCTGGTCTGTTAGGATAAGGGCGCTTTAGTACAACAGTTTCCTGACGTTAGGAAACCATAGGAGGACGGGCTGCACGGTAACCACCTCGTTCAACGTTTTCTTTCACCCTACCATGGTTAAAAAAAAAATAAGTAATCAAATTGGGGGAAACGCGACTGTTTATCAGTGGCAGGGCAGACCTGATCAAAGCCACCGGCGACTGGTCGTGGGTATCAACCTCACCTCATAAATTACCTTTACCAGCTAAGCATTACACATTGCATTTGTTTTGATTTTGAATTTGAAGAGTATTCAGAGGTCGACTCACTTATACTGACTTCGATGTTGTATAATTAATTTAACGCTAGTAATACGGAGTATTACTAGTAATACTCCTTAGTAATACGTAGTAATAATTACTATACTAGTAATACGGAGTATTACTAGCGTAATAGTAACCTAGTAACGGAGTAATAGGAAATAGTACCTAGTAACGGAGGTAATATTTAAACCGATTTCTAACAAGTATTACTGCTCTCATGATTTTGTTGTTAAGGGGTCGACTTTGACGTGTACACTGTATATAAGCCGATTATTACATGTTATGTTATCAATATTGGTTTCTTTTACATTAGGGGTTTGTTCTTGCTAGGAACTGTCATTAGACACAATAGACGTTTAATTACTAAATGTAATAAGTATATTCCTGACCATCTGTGTAGAAATAGCCTAAGCTACTCTATCCCTTTGAGATGTATTTATTGCTTATCTCAATAAACATACTTGAACTTGTGTAGGACAAATACACTTAATTGTGTCTGTATATTTACCTTCTATACATTCTCGTAATTTCGTGTTAACACACTCAAAATTTTATAGATGAAAATTTTCGTGATAATGTTTATATATACAAGTTTTAAATATATATATTTTTTTCAGTTTTATTAAACAATAGACATTTTATACAAAATTTGAAAATATCTTGAGTTACTTTATAATTTATTGAAAGATTTTAGTTTTGTTTTATTAGTTTTATAAAATTGTAATATCAATATAGCTATAGGTTAAGTATTAATTGTAATTGAGAAGCAATAAATGTTATTTACATGCTTGTCCTCCTACACTCCTAAGGTCGTCTCTGGTCGTGGTTTTCTATACAGCTTTTCAGGTAAACTCTAATATTTACAATATTTTGATGCGATTATGTGCATTTATGTACTATGCCGATAGTCAGGATTGTACTTATTACATTTAGTATTAAAACGTACTGTCTATTCGGAGGATGGGCTGATATATATATATAGATATATGTACTGAACATGTGCCACATCATGTATTTCAACATGCGCTGAAAAGTCTTGGAAAGACTTACCAGTCACTGACTCTCACAAAGGAGTGCAAGTTTAGGTTCCAAACGCACATAAACAACTTTCACTCACTTTTCACTCAATAACTCCTGTACTTCTTTACATCTACCCCTTCTGCCTGTCAGCACTCAGCCCCACACACCCCAGCCACCTCCAAACAAAAAAAGCATATCCAATTTTAATACATAACAAATGTTGATTTGGGCGCTGTACTTATTACTGACGCCTTTTATGGTGGTAATATCATCTGTTTTTTATATGGCTGCGTCACTCACAGCGATGATGATGAGGCTCTTCTTAATAATATTATTAATAATTATTATTATTAATATATTATTTTTATAATGGAGCAATTATTTGTATTTTGCTCTTGCCGCATTTTCCGTGTAATACTTTGTGCGCTGGATTTGTTATTGTTGCTTATTTTGCTTTGAATCTAATATATACAAATGCTTGCTGTCAAATTTGTAATTTGTGCCAACGAATGACTTTTTTTATTTATTTATCGATTTTTTCTACAGCACATAAATATTAACTCAAATTTTCACGTAAATTTCTTTGCTACGAACGCCCCTATACACAATATACACCCTAAATACATAATACACACCACAGTATATACAAAAATATATATGCACAGCATAATTCAATGCCAAGGTTCCCACTTCATTTTGGTCAGCTGTGCATGGTCATGTCCTGCATGTTATGCAATGTCATTGCAACGTTCACCTCACAGCAAACAAGAGTTCAACCTTCACTGGCTGGCCTTGAATGTTTTCGACTTTGGAATTGCTCTAAATATGGTAACTATTCCACACACACATACACAGATACTCTCACAAGTAGCGTCCGCGGTAGCCTAACCTAGCCTAGCCTAGCCAAATGACTAAAATAAGTCATACAATCACACTCTCTCACACCTACAAGCGTAAACCAGATCACACAACCGTGAGCAGAAATCCTATGCACTGCTAGCATGCGGGTGGGGGAGGAGGGGGTGATTACACTTTGGAAGAGTAATCAGAAGAGTAATTGTTGACGGCGAGGATTACACGGGTGATCAGGGCGTTGCTTTGTCGGGCGGATGACGCTGACTGTTTCCATTACATGGATTAATGACATTTGTTTTTACTGAGACACAGACGGAGCACGTCGACACGACTCCCTACCAAACATATACGTAAATAAATAAATAAATATATATATATATATATATATATATATATATATATATATATATATATATATATATATATATATATATATATATATATATATTCGATTTGCATTAGATGTTGTTACGGTGCCCTCTCCTATTTCTATCCGTTCAAGGATAGACGAAGCTTTGGTTGCGATTTGGGATTGATGTGTGTTCAGCGAGGCTAGTTTACGTGTTGAACTAAGAGAGTGTGGGGTTAGTGCACTCGGGCATTGACTTAAGACATGATAAGGAGAGTTGTGTTGACATGAAGAGGAACATGTCGGCCATCTTGAGGGGCACAGTCACTTTGGAGGGCGATCGCGCCCTCATATATCACCACTTGGAATGCTGTCATACACGCGGCCTTTTTTTTACCTTCCGGGTGTTTTATATCTTTTGTTGGCCATTTGTATGACTTTATTGCTCATAAGATCTCATTACCGCGTATGAGAGGCCTTCGCTGGCCTCTCGGCTCATAGGATCAACTTCATTTGACTTGTCAAGTGACCTGTGAGCTCACAAGAAGATTCAATCACCGCCTGACTCACAGGAATTCATCTTCACTTTGTTTCACCAGACAACGATACGAATCCGGAATGCATAATTTATCCAAGGGTATAAAATCCCACGGGGGGGGGGGGGGAACTAGCGGGTGGTGATGTAAGTCTACCCATAACAAAGAGACGGTCTAGGGTATAGACAGAGACAGGTGTGAGTGGGTGATAACGACGGGAGCGAGGAGCACCGGCTTACCGTTCTTGAGTGACGCTCGTCCGTTCGCGAAGTGGCGTCCGCGGCCCTTCTCCCTGTTGATATTCCTGGCCGCTGCACTCCCCCCCAATCCTCCCCCACGCACCCTCCATCCCCTCCTCCCCTCCCCGACCAAACCCTTCCTAATCAACCTCCCGCCATCTATAAGCTCCTCCTTCTCCTGTCTTTATTGCGGCAAGTTCAAGTTCAAGTACGTGTATTCAGACGATACGTCTCAAAAGGATAGAATAGCTTAGGATTTCTATCCTTTAGGTCCCTCAAGGGGCTCACGGATCCTAGTATATAAATCATCACGGCACCTGTGCATCCTAATCAACTGGTTTAATATATTCCGTTTAATATATATATATATATATATATATATATATATATATATATATATAAATCTCTGGTTTTCATATTTCTATCCATAGGTTGATAGATTTTCAAGGATATATAGCATGCTATATCACGGGTCTTTGGTTTCTAAGTTTCCATTTCTCAGAATGCCGCTTCTGGGTGGGTTATCATTGTAGGGGAAACGAAGTCTGTTGGTCTTTCAAAGGATAGCCTAAAAGGCCCAGACTAGCTAGTGACCCCCACCCCCCCCTCCCTCCCTCCAGGAGACAACCCACAACACAGAACCAAAGCTCAACCCCCGCAAGCACCAATAGGTGAGCACAACAGTTGACAAACTCCCTGATGCTAGGGAGAACTGCCAGGTGAACAGAGATATCAGGTCTAAGAATCACAAGCTACAATCATACAAAATACAATACATAGGTACAACATTTTACGAATTGTATCGTATATTGTATAACTAATGAAGCCACATTCACAGTGGTGCCAGACTGTCCACATTAAATAACATACAAGCACGAATGTAATTTGGTTCGTAATTACAGGCGAATAATCCAAGGATGTAATTACATAGGGATAATTATGTAATTACATAGGGTTATTGCGTGATTAAAGTAGTCTGAAGAGACACAGTAGAGGCCCGCGCCTCTGTGCTGTTGGGTAATTCAAATTAATGAACAAATTAGAGAGTCATATATAGTCGTAGAAATACTGAAATCTCAAAATACTTGGGAATGTTTTGTGAGTAAAATACTGTAGGGTTGAGCAATGTGAAATAATACCAGGGAATAACTAATTTTGGATTTATAATGTATATTTGTACTGATGACATCATTGTAAACTCGATTGGCATAAGTGTAGAAAGTTTGTGAATTATTTGACTGAGGATTAAGTGTTAATTTTAACACATTTGTTAAAAATAAGATTGTATTAAAATTAAGTGTTTAAATGATGTATTTATGTCAGCTTTGGTGATATTTGGCGTGTTAGAAATGTTGTTATTAACTTTTTGTACATTACTAAACTTAGAGGTGATGTAAGATAGTCTGGTGGTGGTGCTGTAAAGTGGTAAACACCACCACTTGTTGGCTCCCGCCCACACACTCACCCACACACTCACCCAACACTCACACACTTGACATATTCACGCACACAGGCACTCGTATTCATACACTCACGCTCAACCAAACACTCTCTCCCACTAACCTTTCAACCTTAAACTTGATTAATAACCTTTATTAATCTCTCCAATACCTTTCGACAACTAATCTAACCCCCCTTGATTATATTTCAACCCCATTCCTTCCTGTCCTAATCCATTCCTTTCCAATCCAACCATCTATTTTACCCTCTTGCTCCTGTCTACTCTTTCTACCTACCTCCCTCCCTTTCGTACTTTCCTCTCCTCCTCCCCTTGTCATTACCCTCTCTGCCTTGACCCTCACCTTCATCTCTCCTCCCTTCACCAAAAAAGGAACACTATCGCCTCATTTTTTGTTACGGGCTCACCATAGCCCGTGCTACATGGACACTTCGTCCTGAGTAGCTAAATCTTTAACAACAACAACAAACAACCTCATTTTCCCCATATACAGCGCCGCTCCTGTGCCAGGTACGTCCACTACGGGCTCACCATACCCCGTGCTACTTAGAACTTTGTGTTACGAGAAGCTGAATCTAAAATAGTCTTATTCCCCACCACAGGTGAACTCCTAACCCCTGGCACCCAGTTCTTGAGCGCAAACATCCTTCCTTTCTCAGAATCAGCATGAAGACTTCAGCCTCCCAAATGTTGTTATACTATAAAGGTATAATCACGTCCGCACCGCTGGCGGTCACATCTCCACCACTCCTCTCCATCTCTCCCCCATCTCTCTTAATTCATCTCCATCCAAATTTCTCCATTAGTGCAGAAATGACGTCATTTCACTTCTTTTCTTTTTTAATACCTGTGATTGTGCTGTTTGACCTAGCTTTCCTTCCCTTCCCCTTCTACCCTTCCCTTCCCCTTCTACCCTTCCCTTCCCCTTCTACCCTTCCCTTCCCCTTCTACCCTTCCCTTCCTCTTCTACCCTTCCCTCCCCCTTCTACCCTTCCCTCCCCCTTCTACCCTTCCCTCCCCCTTCTACCTTTCCCTCCTCCCTTCACCCCTTCCCTATTCTCCCTCCCTAAACACCCCTCTCCTCCCACACCCAAACTCCCCCTAAGCCCCCATATATCATCTCCTCCCCAGAGCTGCCCAGCCCGCTCTGGACACGCCCTAAACTGGTCTTCAGGCAGCGGTTGGGCTTAATCTTTCCAATCTGGTGAGGCGCAGAGGACGCCCAGGGCGGGCCAGCCCATGTGTGGGGGGCAGGATGGAGGTGCAGGTAGAGGGATAGAGGTGGGGGATAACAGACGATGGGAGAGGGAAGAACGTATGGGTAAGGGGAAAGGATGAAATAATAGAGGAACAGATAGATTTAAGAAGGGAGGGAGAAGGGAATCAAATTATTCTTTGAAATTGATGGTAGAGAGAGCGCCTTCTGGGCATGGAGAGAGAGAGAGAGAGAGAGAGAGAGAGAGAGAGAGAGAGAGAGAGAAAGCCACATAAAGTATGATCAAGCAGGAACTTGTACAGAGAAAGCTCCAATTGGTCACCTGTGTCGTGAGAACTGGTAGACAGCTCGCTCTGCCAAACCCATGACCCCCACCACCATCACCACCATCCTTACCACCACCATCCTCACCACCACCACCACCTTGACCATTAAATGTATGACCACATCTGTGGTAGGAAAAACAAAACACCAGTAGAATGCACAGAAAAAAAAGTCGTAGAAGCCACCCCCATATACAGATGTAATATCGATACAGGTCATCACTTTTTTTTACACCAGAGTGTTTTAATTCCGGCCGTTGAATGTCTACGATCTCTCTCTCTCCTTTCACATTTGAAAGTTGAAATGATTATTTAAATCTTTACCAAATTAACATACAATTTTGTGTGACTGTAGTAATTCAATTTGGTCGTATTGGATTATGCCCGCTGGTCTTATTCACTATATATGTGGCTACAAGCTACTACATCAGATATTATTCGTATTTACATTTACGAATTTGTAAATACAAGTTTATATTGTTCACTGCTATTCAGGACAGAGATGAAGTCATGAGATATGCAGCTCAAAATGCTGTAATATGGAGAGATAAATATAGGATAAAGGGTTAGGCTGTCTTCCCATATACTAGAGTCAATGAACAAGTTATATGGTTGAGTGTGCAGTAGGCCAGAAGGTCTTAAAAAATGGTCGCAGTTCAACCCGACGATTTAACGGTTCGTCTCAGATTTTATAGGCTGGATATTCTGGTAGCCTCACTTACTGGCCAGATAAAGATAACTTGGCAAGTTATCTTTATCGACCTCACCACATTGCACTCACCTAGATGTGCTTGCTGGGGGTTGAGCTTCGGCTCTTTGGTCCCGGCAAAGGAGTTCGATGTCTGGTTTAATTATTTGTGCTGACCATAGAAATACTTATTAATATATAAAGTTGTCATAGCTATTAATAAGCCAGCTTTCAGGTTTTTGGATTTTTCTTAATTAAATTTTTTTAATGTGTGAGTTTATAATAGTTTCATTAGATAGTTCAACGTTAGTCTGTAGGTTTTCCTTGCAAACCTAATTGGCCAATCGATCTACAAAGTCATGCTTTCTAACTCCAACTTGGGATGGAACTCACACAAATTTTATATAAAAGTTATTTTCGTTGGTAAAAAAAAATCACATTGCATTTAATATTACAATTCACTTCAGACATTAATTGTGATGGAGTATTTAAACACATCTGTACCCTACTAATCATACCAAAAAAACCTCACTTCACCTTAATTTAGTCTGAGGTACTCTGTGGCTAGATAAATACCCAGTAGCTCAATTTGAGTTCACAAATTGTTCACAAACTTAATTTGTGTTGAACAGCTCGTTCAATCTTTGCATTCTAGACATGATATATTTCATTTGCTATATGTCCTTCATATGCACAACTCTGCTCTACCTGTGTTCAATCGCACAGAACCAACAGTAAGGGCATAGTATTATGTTGGTTTTAGAATTTGAAGAGGGCTCCTTGGTTATCTTGAGATGATTTCGGGGCTTTTCATCTCAAGATAACCTCAAGATAACCAAGGAGCCCTCTTCAAATTCTAAAAGGGCTGTCAATAGTTTCTAGTGTAATCACACAATTCATCACATAATTTCAGTGTTATACATCACATAGTTTCAGTGTTATACATCACATAGTTTCAGTGTAATGGGCTAGTTTGACACTGATGGGTGTATAATGTAATGCATATCTTTCCGAAGGGAATGTGGTTAACAATCTTAATCTAGATTAAAAGAGTTATTTAATTTATAAGAGTATTGGCACAACAACTGAGCCAAGCACTGTATGGATTTCTTTTTGTGCGTGTGGTGATTTAGAGAAACAGTGAAGACACACAGAAATCACAATAGCGTGATACATGAAATGAACAAAACCATAAGGGCCGTGACGAGGATTCGAACATACGTCCGAGAGGATCCCAGACGCGGCTTAATCGACTGAGTTACGACATGGATAGTCAGTTGGTGGCCCAAGATGAGACGCACCACTCCCACAGCTGGTGGCCCAAGATGAGACGCACCACTCCCACAG